ACAAGGATAATTTTTGTTGGATATGTAATAAAATTGGTATCATGCTTTTAAATTATTAGGAATTTGTCTTTTCTTATGGGTTTACCTATAGTAAGGTCATAATATATCGATCTTATTCTAAAGCCATGAGATATTAAGATATCTCATGAAAAATTATAAAAATAATTAACTTAAAAGAAAAAATAAGTTAACAAGTAAACATTAAAAAATATCTACATAACTTTATTTAAGTTATTAATTTAATAAATAAAAAATAATATATTTTGTAATTTTATAATATCAATTTATTTTATGAAATTAACTTAATTAATTAACTTTAATAATATATTTTTATACTCTTTTATCAATACATTTAGAATTATTAAAATTTTTTTTGAGGATAAGACAGTTCAAATTCATTTTACATCTAATTATATGAATTTTATAATTATTTTTATCTTTTTATGTTAACAATTTTTTATTTAAAATCTTTTAATTCAAAAATATCAATTTTTTTATATTGTCAAGTTAATTATTTACTTTAATTTTTTGTTGTGCTTGTTCTTATTTTATGTTTCATTTAAAATTATTATAACTCTTTCTTAAAGTATTAAGACATTAAATGATATCAATTGTACAATTATTTTCTCTTTTTTAACTTTTTTACTATAACACTTATTTTTTAGTTTGGAATTACTTTTTATTTATAATAATAATTTTTTACGTTATTAATTTAATTACTTATATTATAATAATATATTTTTACACTTGTTCTTATATATTATTATATTTAGAATTATCATAACTTTTTTCTTAAGGTGTTATAATACTTCTAATATATTTTATGTCAAATGATACAAATTTTACGATTGTTCTCACATTTTTACGTAAACACATATTTTTTCTTGAATTATGTTTTATTTATAATAATAATTTTTTATGTTGTCAACTTAATTCTTTACTTTAAAATAATTTTTTTATGCTTGTTCTTACATTTCATTACATTTAGAATTCTTATAACTCTTCCTTAGGGTTTTACAATAGTTCAACCTATTTTATTCCAAATAATACTAATTTTACGACCATTCTCATATTTTTACGTTATGATACTTTTAACACATTTTACGTTAAATTATATTAATTTTATGATTATTATCACATTTTTACGTTAACACTTATTTTTAGGTTTTGAATTATTTTTTATTTATAATAATAATTTTTATGTTATCAATTTAATTATTTAGTTACAATAAATTTTGCTATGCTTATTCTTACATTTTATTATATTTAGAATTATCATCACTTTTTCTTAAGTATTATGATACTTCAAACATATTTTTCGTCAAATTATACCAATTTTACTATTTTTTATCTTTTTACTTTTATATTTATTTTTTATTTAGAATTATTTTTATTTATAATACTAATTTTTTTATGATATAAATTTATTACGTTTCAATAATATCTTTTTACTTTTATTATTACTTTTCATTATGTTTAAAATTATTACAATTTTTTTACTAAAGTGTAACAATACTTCTAACCATTTTACGTAAAATAATACTAATTTTATAATTATTTTTACCATTTTATTTAACTCTTATTTTTTGTTTAAATTTATTTTTTATTTTTGATAATAAATTTTTTACATTACCAACTTAATTATTTATGTTATAATAATTATTTTTTATGCTTGTTGTTATCTTTCATTACATTTAAGATTATCATAACTTTTTGTTAAATGTGTTACAACATTTCTAATCATTTTATGCCAAATAATATCAATTTTATGATTACTCTCATATTTTTATATTAACATTTATTTTTTTGTTTAGAATTATTATTTATTTGTAATAATAATTCTTTTATGTTGCCAAAAATATTATTTATGTTACAATAATTTTTTTTATACTTGTTCTTACTTTTTATTGCATTTATAATTATCATAATTTTGTTGTTAAAGTGTTACAACACTTTTAATCTAATTTATGTCAAATAATACCAATTTTACAACTATTTTTATCTTTTTACATTACAACATTGAAACATATTTTAAACCAAATTATTCCAAATTTTCAATTATTTTCACATTTTTACGTTAAAACATTATTTTTTTTGTTTAGAAAATTTTTTATTTATAATAATATTTTTTTTATATTGTCAACTTATATTTATGTTATCACAAAATCTTTTACGATTGTTCTTACTTTTATTATATTTAAAATTATCACAAGTTTTTCTTAAGGTATTACGATATTTCTAATATATTTTACACTAAATAATATCAATTTTACGATTATTCTCACGTTTTTACTTAACACTTATTTTTTGATTGAATTATTTTTTATTTATAATTTTAATTTTTTTGCATTATCAATTTATTATGTTTCAATAATATCTTTTTACATTTGTTGTTACTTTTCATTACATTTAGAATTATTACATTTTTTTTAAAGATGTAACGATTCTTCTAACTATTTTACATTAAATAATATCAATTTTATAATTATTCTTCCCGTTTTACGTTAACTCTTAACTTTTTATTTAAAATTATTTTTTTACTCGTAATAATAGTTTTTTTATATTATTAACTTAATTATTTATGTTTTAATAATATCTTTTTATGCTTGTTATTACCTTTCATTATGTTTAGAAGTATTACAAATTTTTTCTTAAAAGTATTATGACACTTCAAATTATTTTACGTCAAATAATACTAATTTTACGATTACTCTCATTTTTTTATATTAACATTTATTTTTATTTTAAAATTATTAATTATTTGTAATAATATTTTTTCTCGTTGCAAAAAATATTATTTATATTACAATAATATTTGTTTACACTTGTTTTTATTTTTTATTATATTTAAATTTATCACAACTCTTTGTTGGGGCATTACAACAATTCTAATCCAATTTATATCAAGTTACTCTAATTTTACAATTATTCTTACTTTTTAACGTTACAACACTTCTAACATACTTTTACGTCAAATGATTCCAATTTTACAATTACTGTCACTTTTTTACATTAACACGTTTTTTTGTTTAAAATTATTTTATTTATAATAATAAATTTTTTATATTATCAACTTAATTATTTACGTTATAATAATATTTTTTTTACGCTTGTTGTTACCTTTTCATTACGTTTAGGGTTATCATAACTTTTTTTTAAAGATGTTACGATACTTCTAACTATCTTACACAAAAAAATATCAAATTTATAATTATTCTTATCGTTTTTACATTAACACATATTTTTTGGTATAGAATTATTTTTTATTTATAATACTAACTTTTTTACATTACCAATTTAATTATTTATGTTTTAATAATATTTTTTTACACTTGTTATTATTTTTCATTACGTTTAGGATTACCGCAATGTTTTATTAAGGTGTAACGAAACTTGTAACCATTTTACGTCAAATAATACTAATTTTACGATTATTTTCACTTTTTTACATTAACTTTTATTTTTTGATTTAAAAATATTTTTTTATTTGTAATAATATTTCTTTTACATTACCGACTTAATTATTTTTGTTACAATAATATCTTTTTATAGATGTTATTCCTTTAATTACGTTTATAACTACCACAACTTTTTATTAGGGTATTACGATACTTATAACTCATTTTACGTTAAATGACACTAATTTTACGATTACTTTCATATTTTTACGTTAGCATTTATTTATTGGTTTAAAATTATTCTTTGAGTTTTAGATAATAATTCTTTTATGTTGTCAACTTAATTATTTATATTATTATAATATCTTTTTATGATTGTTCTTACCTTCAATACATTTTGAATTATCACAACTCTTTCTTAGAGTGTTACGACGTTTCTAACACATTTTATACCAAATGATATCAATTTTATGATAATTTTTATATTTTTACGTTAACCAAGTTTAAATTATTTTTTTAATATTATATTATTTTGTCTTCTTTTTTAGGAAATTTAAGTAGATTGTATTTATCAAATTACAATTTTTTTATTTTATTTAATAAATAATATTTAATATAATTAATTAAAATTATATTAATAGGTTAACAAATAATTAATTATTTTTATAATTAAAAAATCAATAATTTATATTAATTTTTTATATTTGACGGTTATTATTCAATGATCTTATAGTAAGGTTAAAAAATTTAAATTTATTGTAAAAATTTCCATGACATTTCATAAAAATTAAAAATCAATTGTTGACAGCTTTTAGCTTTTATTTTTTATTTTTTTATTTTTTATAATTTTTTACAACAAGAATATTAGAAAAATGGCAAAGCTTGGATATGGTTTATTTGTTGTGGGTCTCAGGGTGTCCAAAGGCCAAGTGGGAAGATTTTGCAGTTTAGGAGCACAAAGTGGTTTTTATTTTTTTAATTTTTAATGTGATTATTGAAATTAAAAATATAACACTTTATTAATGGATGGGGTGAATGTTAATTTAACAGCGTGTAGTTTTGCTACTTCCTTGCTTGGAGTTATACCCAAAGATTTAACAGTAAGCGCATGTAAACGTTTATTTTGATTATGAGTCAAAATGTATGCTCTTCAAATAATATTAATAATAATAGTAATGGGGAAGAACAAAATGTACCTGACCTGAGTTCAATTAATTTTAATTTGAGTGAGGAATCAGACGCATTCACCTGCATGATTCATAGTTGTTTGTGCCAGTCAGACTAGTAAGCAAGTTCAGAATAGAAGAGACGTTGGTTCCAAATGCAATCAAATCAGTGGCTTTAGACAAGCCCAGGCCCATCGTTCAACAATACATGCAACCGGAGGGGAAATTGGACCGGCATCATATTTTTCTTAATTCCTACTGGGTAAACTGTTAGCCATCTAAAGCACCTAAAAATCTTATGAGGTCAACTCGTTGTTGTTGGTCGGCTCAATTGGATGATACAGCACATAGTACCTCATATATACATATATATATATATATATATTATACATATATTACACACACATATATAACCTTCTCAATTAAGCTCGACATCTTTAAAAAAAACATCTAAATCATTCCATAAGGATTCATATATAGTCCAAAAAATTGTTTTTGATACAACATTTTTACCAGCAAGAAAAAGGAAAGAATAATCCAGAATCAAACTTGTATCTTTTAATCCTCTAAAACACCTCAAAATAGCCAGAGAAATCGCTTCTGTCTTTTGAAAATCAACTCCGCAACTTGCTATTTGAAATCTGGAAAGAGAACTAGGCACGACTGCGCTTCCTAGAACGGCCTCTGAAAACTTCCAATATTAAACAGAGTATGTATATATGCAGCATCACTAACAAAAGGGATGTGAGCATACTTGCCACCAAGAGCACACCTAACACATTCCAACAAGGCGAAGATGTACAAGATTCCAATGCCAGCCCAAAAGTGCATACCAAACCTGCCATTATAGTGTATGAGTGGGAAAAAATTGCTTGTATACCATATTAACTGCAAAGCAGTTTCCAATAACATCCCCATCATCAGATGGAACCTTATGAAGTGAGGGCATTCTTTATTCTTCACAATTGCAATGTACCCAATGTAGCAATATATCATTGTGAACCATGGAGGTAATCTTTTTATGGCTCCCGGGACAAAATAAACCAAATTTTCAAAAGTCTCATAATGTTCTAGGAAGGGCTGGAGAAAATATCCTGTGTCTGAAATCTGCAAAGCTATTAAATAAGGAACAGCTGCCAAAGTTCTCCACCACCATTCTGGCTTCTGGGTTATCACAGGATAGCGAAATTTGAATATATCATCCTTATATGCTCTGACTGAGAAAGGATATCTCCGACGTGTAGGTGAGAGGTGGGTTTTATGCCACAAGTCACCTTCATGTTCACCAAAAAACTGTGATGATATAGCAGCAGGGTGTTTGTACTGTGTGCCTGCCAATGGATTATAAATTATAAAATAAAAATAAATTAAAACAAAAAGAAATCACTACAACTACGGCATCATTTTTATGTAAATAGCCTTCAAAAATTTATTAAACCAATGATATCATAAGGAGGGAAAAGAAAAAGGAAGAGAGAAAATATGATAAAACTTCATCAATGTTAATCTCAAGTAATAGGATGCATTATTTCATTTCAAACCTAGAAATACTTATAACTCAAATGAAAATGCCTAGGAGATTTGTGCTTTAACAATATATTGATGGTGCAGAAAATCAACATAGTTGGTAGACCAGAGTGCTCCCTGACAATTATGTCAAGATGTTTTCTGTGAAATAAACAAATTCATTTTCTCAAATGATGCAGCAATCTAGCAGATACAGGGCACCCAATCTTTTTTTTTTTTTCTTTTAAAAGAGGAGAAAGTAACAAGGAGAAGAGGCATGGGTTTAGAGTGTAAATCTCATTTATTCTCCACAAAATATATTATTCAAAAGCAACAAATTAGTTTCAGAAGTAGCTTCTAATATCTTTGCAACAAATTAGTTTTAAAAGTAGCATCTACTATCTTTTTTCACTTTAATGTATAAGTAAAAACAGAATCAATGATCAATTATTCAGTAATCAGAACTTCATTAAATAAAAAAAGTTTAAGCAAAGAACTTGATGCAAATTAGTATACCTGTAGAAGACAAGAAACCCTGTGCACCAATATTGCTTGACAACATAAGATTGACCCGCAAACTTGAGTTGCATGCAACAACCGAATGTTTATATCCCAAGTTGATATTGCTGTGTCGTTTTAAAATCAAATCCTTAGACCTGGTTAAATGAAAATGTTAAAGCAAAGGGAAAACAATATTTTAAATGGTCTGACTGACTAAACAACCAAAGGCTTCCAACAATTCTAGCAATTATTCCCCATAAATTAGAAGAGGTGATGGATTGCCAACTGAGCTATAGCTCAGATGGCATGAGTTGTGCTGCAATTGAGAGGTGGCCACGGTTGAAGGTGTAATGCCCTTCCCGCAAGTAAGTAGAGTAGATAGGTTAGGGCGTTTCAAGGGTAGATTTTAACAAAAAAAAAGAAAAAAAAAGAAAGGGGACATTGATTATAACACCAAAAGGCATACACAAGAATGTATCCCATCACAGTTTCACAATTAACTATGAAAAACTCAATCAAATTTATAAATGAGAAAAATGACCTTTTTTTTTTTTTTTACCTTTACAAGCTACTTCAAAGGCAAAAAAAATCAACATTAGAAAGCTGAATACCTATTTGCACCAAGTTAAGCAAAGAAATATAACAGTAAGAAATTGTAACTACTATAGTAAAGGACCCTGATCATTATGTATTAATGGTCCAGATTGGACTTTAAGCTGTTTAATATGAGTATTTAAAACCAAAGCCCAAGAATCTCAGCAAATCAGATATATTCCGAACAAGAAATGCAAACTCATCACAAGGGCACTGCACTAGCTTGTTTATTTACTTTGTAGAACAATTCTGAACCATTGCTTATTAACGTTGAAAAAAATAAAATAAAATGCATACAATCTTCAAGAAAACCCAAAAAACATAGAAAAGAAACAACAAATCCGGTGTGACCAAAATTTCCTTTTGTAACTGTATGTGTGCCAGAAATGAAGAAATTGGAAGCAAAGAAACAATAACGACATAGCTAGCTATAAAGACACAGAAATGAAGAGATAAAAATAAAACATATTAAACCAAACAAGGAAGAGAAAAAAAAAAAAAAGCAAAACCCAAGATGCCCACAGAACAAAAGACTAAATCCGAACCGAATATATTGGGTTATGAAAGTGAAAAAGAGTATACCGGAGAGCGGCAGCGGATGAGAAGGCGCCAGCGGCCAGAAGTGGAGAAGTTTTGCCGAGTTTAGGGCTGCTAGGAGTAGAGACCATAGCTGTTGGTGGAACCATATTTGGAAGAGTCTCTTACAGCGACTCAACAGAAGAGAAAGCAAATGTTTCTTTTTATGCAAGAAACATAGGCGGTTGCCAGGTTTTTATTGCCAGGTTTTTAGGTGTGAGAAAATACCTTTTCTCTGGGTTGTTCTCGAATCTATCACTAGTCCGTATATGAGTCAATGACAGGCTTTGAATTTCTCTATTGGACCAAATGCGCTTTCAGGAGAGCCTACAAAAGACTGAAAATGATTTTCATTCTCATGCTCATAGGCCCAAACAGCAATACCCAAGATAGGCAAAGATAAAAGCAGCCCAATTTGCCAAACCAAAACTTAAAAAATAATAGTAATAAAACAATACTCAGACAAAAAGACCTCAATGCTCAAATCCTTTATATAATTTCAATGGCAAAACCTCTCTAAATCCAAACTAGCCTATCTATATAATAAATTAAAATTATCTCTTGAAAAATTAAATTTTAATTTTCAAACAACTAGTCTTTATCTTAAATTATATGTGAGGATTAAAATAAAATAAAATTATAATAACTATAATATTAAATATGTTCATATATTTTTAAAAGATGATCATGACATACATAGTATACTTAATTTCAATGACAGTCCCCACAAATTGCTTCTAATTTCTCACTCATCGCTTCTCTCTTTCCTTTCCACTCTACTTCAATTTCTCGTCACATAGTCCTATCCCGCCACCAAAGCCTTCCTTCATTTCCCTCAAATATCCAAGCTTGCAACCCCAAGCCGGCCCTCAATTTTTTTGCACTTTCCGAGAAACGATCGGGGCTTTCTCGCAATGGGGAATCCGAGTTTTATGTTAATGCAGGAGATGGAGGAGAAGATGGTAGTGTTGATGAAGCAGAGAGATTGGCAAGAGGAGAGAGTACAATGCCTCAGAGGTCAGATACTTGACCGAAGAAGCTCCTGATCCTCCTGTTAGGTGGCCTTTCTTTGTCGGTGAGCTTCTTCGTCTGCCCTAGTGAGTTTAATATTAGACAAAGTAAAATTTGAAGCATATTTTTCAATTGAAAGAAGACTTATAACCATGCATATCTTACATGTGTAGGGAGCAAAATATTGGCTGATAACTATGTTAGCTACCATAATAAAGGGATTGTACTGTCCTAATAAGCTTTCGGATGATTTTACGATGTTGTTAAATTCTGTAATGTAGTTACTACCATTGGATGACCATTGCTTCATTTTTGAAGAAAGGAAAACATGTTCTTGTTGCGAAGAGAAGTGATGTGGAACTGGCTGATAATTGATAGTTGCATATCATTCAAAGAAGGCTACTAATAATTAACATCATTTAAGTTAATTTCAAGCTCGTGTAAATCAAAGGATTGTAACCAGAAGTTTAGAATAACGCTAACCAATTCACTTTCTTTTTTGACTATGTGCAGCACTGCCATTCCTTCTCTATGCATGGAGTGCAGTTTTGTTAGAGCTTCTAATTGGAGAAAGGCTGCTTTTAGTATTGTTGATTTTCTGGGATACCTCCTGAAACTTGCACTTGCCCTTATTTTCCATTTCATAGGAGATCCAATCACTTCCACGATCAGATGTATAGATACTGTGATCCACAGTAGTACAGCTTCCTACTCTTGTATTGTGGCATATGCCCCTGTTCAAGAACTGACTATAATCATTGTGTTTGCATCAGCAGTTCTTGCCATTGCCGAATCTACTGTTCTAAACTCCATAAGGTGTCAACCATTTATGCTCACAATATCTGGTCTAATTGACAATAAAACTGTGACTAGGTACATTTCCTAGCCACCCTACTGGACTCTTCTATTGGGTTTATATGGTTTCTCGCGCTTAATTAAAAAGCGTGATGATGTTATATCAGCACTGCCTGTTGCAGCTGTAATGGCTAAAATTGGGGAGCCATGGGTTAGGATACTGGTGATAACTTCTTATGTAGCTCTAGCTAATCTTTCACTATTCAAAGAAGCTTTCAGAAGTCAAGGAGCAAACAGAAGATGTAACTGAATAAAAGCGGCTCCCAATGCCCTTATTAGGTGCAGCCTTGTCCATTGGAATCCATTTTGCTGTTAAGTGGGCTGGTTACAGGATGATAGTATGAGGACAGAGAATCTGTTGCACACATTATTTGCAATAGACAGTAATCTTTTGTCTAGTTTCTAATGGTTAATGCAGTATTACATGAATCCCGTTTATTTCGTTTCATGGTTTTAGGGTAGAGTAGCCTACTTGCCCTCTTTGTTTCTGTTATGCTCTGGGAAATACACTATTCGGAATGGCATCGTTCCTCCAATTTGATTTTCTTCATGTCATCAAGAGGAAAGAATTAGTAACGACAAGAATATCATGGACCGTGATACAATATTAATGATTTAAGTAGGAAGGGTTTGACAAACAAAAATGGCTGTCACATAGACCTGAAGATGATGGTATTGGTATTCGGAGAAGAAGGTTCCCAACAAGGATACATTTTTGAACTAGGAGCGTTAGAAAATAGAAGTGAAAGACTTCCAGGTCGGCCGACGGGCCTATAAGAAGTTGTGGGTCTAAAAGTTAAATGAACAAAAACACAGCCTTAACTTGACCCAGTCAGATCAGAGCCCAACCCATGTATCCAAACTAGGGTTTTGAAAAGGTCTCTTTATAAACGATTCAAGATCGCCTTCCACCGTCATCCAAGAGCTCCAGCTCCAAAGGCGTGTTACCTTCTATACTCGTCCATTTTCTATTTTTCTTCAACTATTGTTGTTTAATTGATATGACGTTACCTCCGCACGAGCTCTCCCGGGCTTCTCTGAATCTCTGCCTTTGAAGAAAAAAGCCCCAATGTTCGTGCTAAAACCATGCCGCTTTACGTGTTGCAGAATTGCCTAGCTCTTCTATCGGCTCTTCTGTGTCAAATCAGCGGCTACATCTCCATCATTTTAGTTTATCATTTTCATATTGTATTTTTTTTCTCTGCCTCACTACACCTTTAGCTTGTTTTCAAAAATTAATACCAACTCATTGGAAACCTGGCTAGTCATCGAGGCAAATATTTGATCTGGCGGTGTCACACGTGGGGGCATGTCTTTCTATGATTTTGCCTCTAAAAACATCCGCTATACTTTTTTCCTGTCTTGTTTTTTTTTTTTTTTTATTCAAGGAGGGGTGGCGATGATTACAATTATTTTATCCGCGCTTCTGAGAGCAATACATGAAGCACAAAGACAATAAAATGGTTGAATTTCTTGATATGAGCCAGACTTTATTTATAATTATAAGAAAATAAGTTTATTTTTTAATTAAATTTTGTACTTGGCTATGAGGATTTATATAATACAGCTTTTAATGCCAGTTCTGCTACAGAAAATTCTTGATTGATAAGCTGCTTTATTTTCTGAGCCTCTGTGATTGACAAACAAATTTTATCCGTTTGTATGAGATATAGATGTCCTCAATTCCCTGTTTTCTGTGATAACCTATTTGGGCTGCTGCATCATTCATGACATAACTAGATTTTCTTCTGTGCCAAAGATGATTGGAATCCACTTTGTATGAGGTGCAGTGGAGCCAAGACCCTGTTTAACAGGGAGAACCTGCTTGGTAGAAGCTGCAATTCAATGGATATTAATGGATTCAACTGAGGCCATATCTTGTTTATGAAATATTTATTGGTTTGAGTTTAACTATACTCTAAATCTTTTACTAGTAATTTTGGTTTAGAGTCTGAAAAACTCAAATAATGTTGTGTTGTCATCAGCTTCTTCTCGCTTTTTTTTTTTACGAGATCGGAGTTAAATAACAGCACTAAATTTCTTTTTTGTAAAATTTGCAGGTATTAACTGGATTCTTCAGTTTATTTAGAGACTGTTGTTATTTAAAATTCTTCAGTTTATTTAGAGACTGTTGTTATTTAAAATTCTTCAGTGTTCATTAGATTTTATAGGGAGAGGAAGTTGTATTCAAACAACATAGCAATGATATGCAAGTGTCCTATATTTGGTCAAAACTAGAGGTGATTTCTTTATTTTTATAATTGAACTCTCAGACAAACATGGGAGTCCTAGATTGACTTTCCAACTGGGTTGGTTCTTTAATCCAGAGATTGACTGTCCAAATGTCCTACTGGCTTCACCAGGTCAATGTCACTTGTTGAGTTTTACAATTACATATGATTTTTGGATAAAATCCATCCCTCACTTTCGGTTGATTCCATTTGTATTGAGCTTCTTTACTGTATGGTATTGCTTCCTTGAAGAAGATCAATGTATTATGCTTACTTTTGCTAGTCAAAATTTCATGTTATAACTTTTAACATTAACTAATGTCTGCCAACATCCATTGCTTCAGTTTTTTTCACTTCTAGAAAGAATAATAAATCTCTTGCATTCCACACACCCAAACATTGTTGGCTTGCATCTACTGTCTTTAACAAAACAGTTAACCTCTCACGTGAATTAAGGCAACCGCATGGAGGCCTTCTTGCACTTCCACTTTATGCAAACCTGGCTAAAGTGTGGCCTGATGACATTACTTTTCTTGGGGTATTATAAGCATGTAGCCATGCTGCATTGGTGATGAAACATTGGATTATTTTGATAGAATTCATAAGTATTATTAGTTGAAGCCAGTGCTGATCATTATCCATATTTAGTTGATGCATTGAGTGGAGCGTGGAGGTTGTACAAGGCTTATAAAATCTATGTAGCCAACTGCAAAGACTTGGGGAGCATTACTTTGAGCTTGTAGAAATTACGAAGTAGACTTCACAAGTTCATTACAATGAACACTAGTACACAAATGCCTACTTCCATTACAGAGAACACTATTACATAAATACCTACTTCCAAAACAAGCAAGAGCATCTGCACGCCCATTTCCTTCCTAGGAGGCAGGCAAGATTCGCTGCTGTTTAAATTCCTCTGAGTTTCCTGCAGTCAGAGATTAAGGGATGTAAACATGGGTGAAAGGATGACCAATTTCGGAGCGTAGAAACAATAACGGAGGCTTCAAGCTCAACTCCAAGTCTTCAAATTTCTAGCTGTCTATAGCCAAAAGCTGTCCATCTTTAACAGCCCATGTTTCTGCCATGATGTTGGAAGAATATCCGATAAACCTAGACGACCCAATCATCCATTTTCCTTCATGGTCTCGAATGATAACACCCGCACCAGCTTTGCCAGGATTTCCAATAGATGAAACATCAGTGTTGAGTTTACACCAGCCTTCCAGTGGCGCGTCCCATCGGATAGGAGTAAACAACGGGAGGCTGGTTCTTGTGATTCCCTGGTTCATAGCAAAATACTCCCTACAACGTCAACCTCTGTTCTGTTTCCCCTAAATATACGCTGGTTCCTTTCTATCCAGATTTCCCGAATGATACGAGTAAAAATAAAGCAATAAGCATGTTAGAAATGGTTCAAATTGCGGCTTGGCCATTCGCTGTCCAATAGCCACATATATCAGCTTACTCGTGCTAGATATCCTTGCAGATGAGAGAAGACATAGATATCAAGAGAAAAGAGTGAAGGATCCTAAGCTCTTTTGCCATCGTCTAAAAAATTGTCGATGTTACATCATACATTTGTCTCTTTAGTTGACTCGACCTTGTTTCATAAACTTGATATATACTCCAAAATAAAAGCATCTAGTTACAAAGCTCACTGGCCACCATTAAGGAGAGTATCACATTATTTTGGGTCATTATCAAGTACTCTGTTTTACACCAAAAAAAAAAAAACCATAGATGATAGATGAAACTAGGTGAAATCTATGAGTCAAAATAATATAAATAGTCTAACATCACGCAGTGCTAAATTATGTTGCTTGAACTATCATAGCAAAGGTTATGGGTATCGTCATAAGCATGCAACTCAGACATGCATACAATTCAGACATCTCAAATCTATGATGATTGCTGTCGATCCTTTTCCAATGTTGCAATGAATTTGAACCATGCTGGCCGTTGGCAAACTGAAAACTGATTTGTATTACAAGGTATATAAATGCAATGCTTAAATGCAAAATCGGTTCAGCCAATTTGAACTATATGTTGTCCATGGTACGCTCAGCCGTTGGCTCTGCTTGCCTCTACTTCTCATTTTAAGATTACCTAAAAGGGTAACAACATATCATTAGCATAGATGAAAGACCAATCTGTCACATGTTACAGCAGTTATGCAATGAAAGCAAAATCTTGCATGACAAATGCACGCTACCAATCATCTAACTTAAACCACATGATACATTACAAATTTACAAGGATGGCACCAATAACAACCATATAGGAACATATTTTAACCCACATTGGTGCTAAATGATAACCACAAATTAGTGTTGGTTCATGTAACCATTCTTAAAAGGTGTTATCCAACAAATAAAGGGTTTGAATCTTAGTACCTATAAACTCCTCATATTCATTTTGCCAACAGCCGCATAGTCTGTTGGCAGAGTGTTGGACTCTTAGATTCTTTTATCAGGGATCAAATCCTGACAGCCTCAAGTATCAAAAAAATGATGACAAAAAATTCTTAAGTGATGGGACAAAAGGAAATGCGGATAGCAGAATACACATACCAATATCAGTAGTAATGCATGATGGGAAGTCCTAACACAACCTTATTCTGCTTTGAGCCAAACTGAAGTACTCCAGATGACATTAAAATAATTCTTTGGAACTTCAATCGCTGAATCAAATATATAACTACCTACGTTTATGTTTAAAATCCTCTGGACCAGCTAAGTCTAAAAGAGATGAATTCATCTCCTCTGAGAAAAACATTGCCAAATCCACCTTCCCTGCCTTCTTCAAAATGCTGATTAGGGATCGATATATGTAGATTGATGGATGAATCTGCCTCTGCTTCATCTCACTGAAGAGTCTTAATGCTTCCTCAGTGTTCCCTGATCGGCCAAAAGTCTCAATCATTGCTGTATAAGTAAGCAAATCTGGTTCAACTCCACTATCACTCATTTCTCTGAAAAACACTAAGCACATATCCAACCTCCCAACCTTCCTCAAATTGTTCAATAACGTATTGTAAGTAATAAAATCTGGAACAAAGCCGGCTTCCTTCATAGAACCAAATTCATGGACCATTTCATTCACCCGACCAGCACGACCTAAGATATCCAGAATAGTATTATATGTTATCACATCAGGCTTGCATCCGAAACTATTAATCTGATTAAATATCGAAAGAGCCTTGTCTATCTGCCTACATTCAGCAAAGGCAAAGATGATTCGGTTTATAACTATCGTGCTACTGGGAAAAGCTAACTTTGACACTTCTTTGACGTATCTAATCAATGTTGTACAGTCATTAGTCTTAGCAAAAGACCTTGCAAGATTAAGATAACAAGTTGAGCTCAAAGGTCTATGAAACACTAACAAATCTTTGAATATCTGAAACGAAAGGTCAATCTCATTTCTTTCAGCAGCTGCCGCCAAAAGGGTATTATATGCATTGGGGATGAAGATATTTTTATCACGCAATGATTGCAGTAATCTAATAGCCATAGAAAGATTCCCAGATTTGCAAAGCTTATGAACAAAAGCAATACACCTTTCCCTGCTCGACTTTGGCGTGTTTTCATAGGTAGCGAGAATTTGATTCAAGACTTCATCAGTCACTTCCTCTTCATCCGGAGCAGCCTGAGTTGCAAGCGAGTTATAATTTCCGATGATTTTACTTACAATGGGATAAAATAGGCGGATGCAAGAGAATCCAACTGGGATGGATGTGAAATAATTCTGGGATTAGAAGCATGGCCATCAATAAATGCTTAACATAAACTCAAATATAATAAATTAATCAATCCAAATCACACGTTTAACTAAACCACGGCTTAAAACGAATAATAAATAACTTTCAAGGAAATCAGTTTCTGTTTCAAAAAATCAAAAAATAAAAAAAATGAAAAAGGAGAGAAATCATGTTCCTGCCTTATGCACAGTTTCTACCCCAAAAGTAATTCCAGTAAAAAAAAGGATACCTTTTGACTTACACCGTGAGGGTAATACCCGATTATTAGACGGTTGCCCAAATCTCGAATTGAAGTGGAATTGAAATTGAAAGTCCCTTTGCCTCGAAGAAGAAGCTTGAAGCACCTTGAAGCAGCTACCATTGAAAATTTGAAACTAATTTCAAAAGGAATCCATAAACAAATTAATCCAGTTTTCTTTCCCCTTTACTTTGGTTTTCCTGTTGGGGTTTCCGGGGTCTTGAGGCGTTATTAAATGTTAGGGTTTAGCGCTGGGTGAAGGTCGCACGGTTTAGTGCTTGGCGACAACGCCAAGGTAATTCATTTTAGAAGGAGAATCTGGTTTTCTCGATTTTTTTTTTTTTTAACTTTCCTTTTTTTTTTTAGCTCCTTACTTTTTTTTTTAACTTTTAGAAAAAAAATAGAAAAATAATTTTTTTGTTTTATCATCTCAATTTATTGTGTTTTTTTATAAAATTTATTTAATTAAAAAAATAAAAATAAATAGGAATGACATTGAATTATTTAATTAATATTTTTTTTATAAATTTATCTAATAAAAGAAATACAAAAAGTTAAAAATGAAAAAATGAAAAAACAAAGTTCGTGACATTTCATATTGAGCTCAAAATATTAATTTATTAAATTAAGATAAAATATAATTTTATTAATATAATACATATAATAATTAAATATATAATAAAATATAAAATCTTATATATATCTTGAAATAGCTCAAGATAAGTATCCTAAATATATTTTTAACTTGATCTCATTTCTCTTAAAAAACTTAACTCTTCTTAAAATATATTATTTGAAAATAAAAGGATCAAATACCACTCAACTCATCTCAAGGTAAAATATTATAAAAATATATAAATATTTTTTAAAAAAAGTAAATAGAAAAAATTTAAAAAAAAATAGATTAAAAGGAAAAAAAATAACATGACGTATAACATACCTTTGATATTAGTGATACAAAAAAATTTAAAATCTTTAAAATATATATTTATTAAATATATAAATAATAAATAATAAAAAATAACATATTCTTAATATCAAATGAATTTTTTTAAAAAATAAATTTAAAATCTTAAAAAAATAAAAATAAACAGTTTGGTATAAATTGGATTCCACTTTAAAAAATAAAATTTTTAAAAAATAGTTATTAAATATTAAAAAAAAACTGATAAAAACAGAAAAAATTAAAAAAAAAAAAAAAGCAAAAAAAGTGACAATGGCTTAAATTTTGGTCATGTACTATTTATCCATATATGACAAATTTTACGTAATGAATGAGAAAATATGCATTAATCAAATTTATTAAAATTTTTTATGTAAGAGTTCATGGGTTTTGTTCGGAACATCCTTTTTTAAATTAATCCAAGTAAATTTATTTATGTTAAACTTAATGAATTCATAAAAAATTATTTTTTTATGATCACTTAATTAATTCAAACTCATAAAAAAGAATTCTCTTTATCACTTAAACCAAACATCTTGCGATAAATTTATTAAAACCTTATTAATCAAAATTAATTCTAAAAACTTTATATAGTTAAAAAGAAAATCAAACATCTTCCATAAATATTCCTTAAATAGGACAGATCTTGGATTTATGATAAGTAGAGGTAAATTATTAGATAATATTTATTTATAAAACTATTGTAACTTAAAATGACTTTTATTAGAATATAATGTCAAATATGTTTAGAAATATATAATAATAAAAATATTTTTTTAAAATTATACAATATTAAAAAATATTATTTTTATATAAAAATTATATCTAAAAATCATATTTGCTTGTCTTAATTATGTCACGTTAAGAAAGAATATTAACACTTATATAGGTAAACATAAATACGACAATTGAATAAACAAATTAAGATTTAAATATATACATAAATATATTTATTAAATGAAAATAATACAATACGATTAACAAAATTATCATTCAAGTTGGATTAAACACGATATGACATAATATATTTTGTAACCCATTAAAAATTCATTCTAGCAAGATCAATAAGTATAGTAAAGAGATAAATTTTATATTTATACTTTGAATAATTAACTTATTCAATTACTTTTTCTTTTTTGTTAATACATTCATATATATTTCAATATTATAAAAGATCCATACTTTTTTTTTTTTTTACATTTAGTGGGGGTAAAAAATTAAAAATTGAGTTTATTTCTAATAATCTTACTTGTTATTTTGAAATTTTAGTAGGGGTAAAATATAAAAATCATTTATATTTAAGATCTTTTACTAATAAAAATATTCAAGTTTCAAGATTTTAGCACTACCCCAACCCTAGATCCGTCTCTGTTCCTTAACCTATAAATTCAGTAGCTTTTGATTAGTCAACTTTATCTTAATTATCATGTCTATAGGCGTAATATTTTAGCTATTAGCAAAGGTTATGAAGAGCTAGTGGTTATACAGTTATAGGACCCATGGCTCATTTCCATGTGGGCATGCTTTTCATGCCCACTGCCTAATTGCTTCATTGCTTGATTACTTTTCGTGACATATTGCATCGATGATTCTCAAGTTGTTTTCATATCATTGTTTCAATTTTCATATGTTTAAATTGTGCATCTCCATGCTTTGGCTGAAAGATCACAATTTCTAGATAGTTTATTTCTTGTTGGACTTGGTAAAGCTTTGATGATATTTATAATAGTAATAAGTTATAAGTGAACAGAGCTTTTCAATGAATTATTTGTGAATATGTTCATTTTTTTATTCGTTTATTAAGTTTAACAAATGATATTGAATAATATTTTTACATTCATTTATTAAATAATTTGAATACGAACAGAGGTTAGTTTGGTTCATTTATATTTGTGAACAAGCTCGTTTATTATTCATTTAAAACTTGTTCATTTATTTTTTGTTTATAGTAATAATAACAATTTTATATTTTTATCCTTTATTTTAATCCTATTTTAAGATTCGTTTATATTCGTTTGAGTTCATTTATATTCGTTTGGATTCTTTTATGTTCATTTAGGGTTTGTTTGTTTACATTTATTTAGTTATGATTTATTTATTATTCATGAACATGTTTATTTATATATATTAGTGAATATGTTCGTTTAATGGAATATCTTATTAATTGAATAAATTCATGAACGAATTTATTTAGCTTAATTGAATCAAACATGAATCGAATATGAATATCTTACCATTTAAACGAACTAAGCTTGAACGATCAAAGTAATTTCTTACCAATCATGAACTAAGCCCAAACACCTTTAAAAATAAATAAACAAACTATATACATTCGTTTGTTCATTCATATTCGGCTCGTTTACAGCTATAGGTAGAGTCCAATTTTAAAAGTGAAATATGTACAGCAACAGAATATATATCAAATTTGCAGAAACAACTAACTTTATAACAAAGTCAAAAGGATTCAAATGATGGTATTATAGATGAATCTATTACTAGTATTGAGATCTTGACTATAGAAAGAGATGATATTGACTGTTGACAGAGGTGCTCTAATGTATTTGACAAAAGCAATTGAGAGAATTCTCTTGTCACTTTGCATTGTTCACATAAGTATCTACAGATAAAATGTACTATTTAACATAGTAAATCATTGTTTATATAGTGAAAATTATATCTATATATAAACCACTGGTTGTAAAGTTGTGATACAAGCAAATATAATAGAAATATAGCAATTTCAGTTTTTTTAACATGGTATTAAAGCAAGTCTTTCTCGCCAAGATTTCTTCTTTCCTTTTTCCCTGCCATGCTTTCCTTTTCTCTTTCCATTTCCTGTGCATTCTTTCATCATGCTTTCTTATATGTTTCCTTGATTTTTTTTTTGAATGACTCCTACCATAAAACCAATTCTTTTTTCCTTTCAATTATCTTTCATTACTTGTTCTTTAATCATCATCATTTTGTCATCATCATAATTCCCCATTTTTCCCTTTTTCCTACACAACTTACACCATACTATTTTTTTTCTTCTTCATAATGATATTTTGTCATCACTCTTTAAATCCAAAACTATTCTCTTAAATTTTTAAAATTTTTATTTTCTCTTATAAAAGTTAGATCCATAGTGTTTTATAAAAGTCTTTTCTTATTTCTTGTTCTTTCCATTTTTTGGTGATCTTTTTTGCAGATAATAAAAAAAATCAATTGGTCATCATTCCACAAACATTTTTTTAACCCTTCTCACTATATATTTTTTAGGTAAATTTTTTACTCTTTTCATCAATAGACAACACTAGATATGAGATTGTTTATTGCTCTACCTTAACATTTATATTAGAGATCCTCTTATTAGCATTTCAAGAATTTTTTACCAAAACAATTTTTCAACCGCCATCTTAATACGCTTTACTCTCCACCATTTCACCAATCAAATTGTTCTTTTTTTGTCACATTAGAAATTTTGGCCACACATCAACATATCAAAACCTTTGTCAATAGATTTTTTAATGTTCTTTAGCCATGTTAGCATTTTGTGGTTACTTGCTTTGCCACATCATAAGACAAGATAAAAGAAAATGACAATACTACAAACTGAAAGCTTTCAACCTTATAAAAAATGACACAAACATGTGACGAGATAAAAGCAAGCTCCTCGATGAGACATGTGTACAAAAAGCTTCATACAAATGAGATACAAATAAATAAAAAAAGATAATAAAACAGAAATTAAGTTGATAAAAAAGGAAAAGCCTAGGCATGAATTAGGCAAAGAAATAGGGCAAGTACAAGTTAAAAGGGACTCAGGAAAAGAAGATTCATACAACTTTAATAATTAAGTAACTATCAACCTATTAACAAATAAGTCAACAAGCACCTAAAGGTTGCCTGGTAAACCAATGTTAGAAAGCAACAACCTAATTTTAGCCAATTTCATGCAATGAAGAAATATGTTGCTTGGGAAAGCTTCTTAGTATAGGGAACCAGTAGTAATTTTGAATAAAAATGTTGGAACCCTAAGTGATAATAACAAGTCTCTTAGTTCTAACAAACTAGAAAGAAACCAAAAAGATTTTTTTTTTTAACCTAACGCAAAAGTGTAGATAGAGATCAACTTTCAACCTCATGATTTGGAGCAAAAGGATCTGATTTTACATGAAAAAGAGAAAAATACAATAAAAGAGGTAAAAACTTCTTGGGCCCTAAAACAACCATTAAGCAACAATAATGTAAGTCCTCGCTCTTCAAGTAAGTAGACAAATTTACAATCCCAACTCTTAATGTTTGCTTTCGACATTAAAGCCTCAACTTCTTGTCTTTAAGGCTTAAAACACAAGAATGGACATTTTGAGAAATCAATCTCACTTGGAGATAAAGGAAAAAATGACAAAAAAAGTAGTAGAAAACAACCCAGAAATAGCAACACTTCTAGTTT